TTGACCCCTTTGTCAAGATCAGACAGGTGAAGGGATATGGAATTGTCTCTGCATCTTCTCTTCTATTCCATTGGTCCACCTAGGTATAGTCAGCTTAGTCCTGTAACCTGATGCTATTGGTTCCCCTAAATACCTGGCCACCATTGGCTATCTACCCATGGTTATGAAAGACTAGGTTGATAAACTCACATAAGTCATGTGACTTTCCTCTGCTGTTGGTACATTGAGTTTTCTTCTATTTCTTTGGGGTGCTTTCTGCATAAGTGGGCAAGTGCTTCAGTGGGCAGGCTGTGGAGAGTAGGCAGAAAGCACAAAGGCAATCAGCTCCATTCCCAGTGTCAGGACAGGAAAGCTTTGTTCTGGAGAAGCAGGTTCTCACTAGAGGTATGAGCACTCTCCAGATTAATGATTCACTTGCTTTAGTCATCTGTTAGGAAACGTCACCATGTCAGTAGCACTGAGCTTGTGCTTGTGCTCTGCAGGGGAAAACAAGCAGCTATTCTGGGTATAAGATCCTGCCTGTGCCTCTCATTCCTTTTCTCTACCTGTCCATATAAACTGCCTTGCACCTTGGCTGCAGTCTGTTGTGCTAGGATTCACATGTCAATAATACCTTGTCGCTAGAAACAAAGAATATCCTCAATTCTAACTCATAAATTTAAGAAACACTATTGGAGCTACCTGTGCACTACTTGGCTTAGAGCCCTAATCCCTGTGAGACAGATGTTAATATTGTCACTGTGCAAACTGGGGAATAGAAATTCAGGAAAGTTAAATAATTTTCACAAAAGCAAACAATTGGTAAGGCCAAATTTAAACCATTTTCTCCACCATTCTTACCCATATCCTTATACCATCTATATAGATATTAGGAAGGCCCCAAAGGATGCAAAGTGTTGTACAAGGAAAAAATCAAGAATTTTAAAAAGGCATGGCACCATGAGCACTGGGAAAACTTTGGCTCCACGGAAACACAATTAGAACTCCTCCTGTTCAATAGGCCAGTTTCACTGTGTAAGGTAAAATACCCTTACCGAATACAGAAGGGCCTCTCACAAATATTAAAGATTTTCTAGCACTTCTCACACAAAAGATTGCATAGTATGGAGGAAGAATGACAGCTTTTGGAAGCAAACAGAGGTAGCTTTAGAACAGCTTTCCTTACTAGCCGGGTAAGTGCCTGACATCATGAGGCTCAGTCTCATCTACAAAGAACAAGTGATTATCTTCTGGAGTTATGATCAGAAGTAGTAAGACATACTTGATATTTGAATACTGATTCTTTTACTATATCTTTTAAATACCTTAATTAAAAATAAGAATATATGTGTCTATTTGGTAAACACAGAATATTAAAAAAAAAGTTAAATCAGTCTTTGGGCAGCCATCTTTCCAGAACATGCACATTAAGCTCCAATATTCCTTTAGGTATGAGGGGTTTGTTGTTGTTGTTGTTGTTGTTGTTTGTTTGTGGTTTTTTTTTGTGTGTGTGTTTTAGGATTTTAGGGAAGGGTTTACAGGGTGTTCCAGGTCTCACTACTAGATGGGACTTGTAGTGATCCACCTGCCTACAGCCTCCCAAGAACTGGGATTATGTGTCACCACACCCAGTCTCAATTGCTGTCTCAGTGCACCCTGGGGGCAGGGCCAGCATGGTAGGCCCAGGGATTGAACCCCTAATCTGCTTGCAGACACTTTAATCCACTGAGCTATTTGGCCAGCCTTAGATATGAGTTTAAATGTGATATGTCCTACTTATTAGGAATAATTTATTCAAAGTCTTTAAAAAGTAGTTCTTCAAAATATAAATTTGTCTTGGAATATTATATTTCCTCTAAAACATTTATCCTTTTACATAACCTGGAAGTAGATTAATTTATATTAATCACCATCACTGCATATATGAATTAAGGACAAGCACCAGCTAAGGCAATTTTGAACCTAACTACTTCACAGCATTTGCAGTGTGCTTTTGTCCCAGTAAACAGCACTAAGGGAAATGTTCAAATGGAAAAATATATCCTCACACAGAGGCCAGGGCGAAGAATGTGGACAAAAGAACTTACTTGTACTTTGATCTCCATTTGTCCATACTTTAGATAAAATACTTGCTTCCTTTTGGACCTAGAAAATGTAAACAAGTCTCCATATAAGGAAAAAAAGTCATTTAACTTTTAAAGCATGACAAACTCCTCAGTTCAGACTTGTGATAAATGTGTATGAGTTGTCACAAGGTTCTGACATTTCAGCTCTGTTCCTGAACTGCTAGCTTGTAAAACAAAAATACTCTGATAGCAAAGATTATTCTGAAAGGTAGATCAAAAGGAAGAAAGCAGACACTATGCCGGAAGGAACAACACAATTGAAGTTATCAAGAGCTTGAAGTAAGTATCATTTGATGAGGAAAGGTAAAAACCCAGTGTTTTAGGGATTATGGGGCTTTTTTTTCAGTCTTGGTTCAAAAGAATATTAGTCTAAATCTATTTCTACATATAATAAATATAGTTGGGACTTTGTGTGGCAACTACTCCCTCTATTATATAACTTTAAAGATTTTAATGGCTATATTGACTGTCTTAAAGCAAGCATGACTTACTTTCAACTTCCTTAATTTATTGAAATACATGTATAAGTCAGTCAGTTGGACATGGTAGAATACTCCTGTAATCCCAGCACTCAGGAGACTGAGGTAGAAGGTTGAGGTCAGCCTGGGCTACATAGTGAAACCCTGTCTTAAAAATGAAATCAAAAGAAATATATGTTAAGTCAATCAATAGAGATACAATTTCTAGAGGACTTCAGGGAGTAGGCTAGGAAGAAAAGGCTTTAAAATTCCACGTGTTCATCTCTTTAAAGACAGGAGTATACTATCTTTATAATTCAGGAAGACTTTTCTAAAGTCATCAATTCTATAACCCAATCATCTAAACAATATCTGGACTAAAGAAACTGTATGGAAAATTTTTCACTGACATAAACATGCCATTTATAAATGCACAGATTATTTGAACTGAAATGATCTCCAATAAAGGATACCTAATAGCTTGAAAGTTTCACCCTCAAATGTTTGCCTGGTTGTTTGTTGTTCTGACTTTGCAATTCTTGTGCATAGGCCTTTTCTCTTCCTATACATACTAGTTATAGCCAACTCCCTTTGCCTTGTTACCAGCCATCTCAATTTTTTAAATTTAAAAATAAATAAATCAAAGCATTTCCTGGGTGGTTCACAGGTGGGTCACAGATGTCATTTCTCGCAAAGTATTTTGTAGCATTTTCAAGGTAGTTTCTGGTATCCCAGAAAGGGAGATGGCCCACAAAATTCCAGATTCCCAATTTCTCTTGAATGATCAGAGCATCTGGTGACACAGGGTCCACTACCTTGCTGGCAAATGCATCCCAAATAGCCCACTGGCCTTGCTGCAGGTCCCCAGCTCTCTAGAGCCCTGGCCACACCATACTACCCATTCCCAACAGGGCTTCTGATGCCAGGCACCACTTCCACTGTCTGTTTTCATTTATTATTTTGTGTGTGTGTGTGTGTGTGTGTGTGTGTGTGTGTGTGTTGTAATAAACAAGAAAGTAACTTCTTTCTTGTGCAAAGAGTAGAGGACAAAGAAAGGAATATCAAGCAAGTCAGGTATTGGGGCTGAGAAGGGTGGGCATATTTCTTGGGCAATGAAGATCACTTCCCCATGATTAATAAGACAAAGGGCGTCTATGTTGAAAGAACCCACTTAACCACAGTCAAAAGCTTGCAAGGAACAGAACATGAAAAAAGGTAGTGAATAAGTGATGCTTCCAAAAATGTAATTATAGGGTGTGGTGGTGCTTGCCTGGGATCCCAGTACGTGGGGGGCTGAAGTAGGAGAACTGCTGCAAGTTCAAGGGAGCCTGGACTACGCGGTGAGGTCAAGGCCAGCCTGAAGTGCACAGCAAGATCCTTCCTCAAAAACAAACTAATTGCATACTACCGGGGAGGACCGTATTTCTTTTTCTAACCCACTGCACTCATCTCTCTGACCTAACAGGCCTTGGAGGCATCTGAGTTCGTCTCCCATGTCAGAAGCACACCCCCACAGCCCACCCAATCATTTACCCGCCCCCCCTCGTGGCCTCTAGGCCCGGAGGCAGTAAACACAAAGTCTGTCCAGACCAGCTGTGATTCTCCACTTCTTTCCACTTCCTGCTCTGAGCCACAGTCTGCCAAGATAAGGGCAGAACTATAAAATTCCAGCTCCTGCTCTTTCCTCCCACGGCGCCTCTCCCTGGAGGCTCCTAGTCAGACCAGGTGCCCATAGTAAGGATTGAGGCCTTGCTTTGCCTCACTCTATTCATTTCTCAAGGTCACAGACCCTTGCTGCAAATACTCCAGGCTGATCTGCACCCCTGATCTAATGGGGGAAGGAGCAGAGGCCTGTTCAAGATCACCAAACCTAACAGGAGCAGCTGCTATCCATCAAATGCAACAAGATGGCCAGCAGCTGCAGGACGATGCCGAAGTTCCCAACCTACCAATTTTAGGGCAAAGGAGAGGGTGACCCAGATCAACAACGTCTCAGTCAGATGTGTCCCCAGAGATCAGGTTTTCAATATATGTTTGCTGAACACAGACTGTGGCTCTCCTCTCTCTGGAACATCAGACTCCCTGTCATCACCTAGCTCCAAGCTCTAGTTATATTGCCAGGTTGACAAAGTATTTCCACATGATTGTGCTCATTTGACTTGAACAGGGAAGTTTAAGGTATGCAGAGTTTTTTTATAGCTCCTTTCCAATTTATGGAAGGGAAAATAGATCTTGGAGCTCCACGTGACTTACTCAGGGTCAAAGAATAAGCACTGAGCCCCAGGTTTACTGTACTTTTACCCAGGACACAGTGAACTAAAAATATGAATTATGAAACTGCAGGTCTTTATAAACTACAACACACTAGCCAGAAGGAGAGTTCTGTAATAAAAGCAGTATTAAGTCATCAGAGAACACAACTGAGTAAAAAAGAAACTAAGACTTTAAAAATATTTTTATATAGAAATATTTTACAAAGATTTTACAACATAGCAACTCATTACATCATACTGTAGAAAGGTGAAGAAAAAGAATAAACCTCCAAGATACAGAAAGTGCACGTACTGCAGTCTCCATGAAAGTGCATGAAAGGTTAAGGCATGGTACCTCACCGGTACTGGCACGTTGCGAACGGACTTGTGAAACAGTTTTTAAAAATAGCCACAAACATTTTTTTGGTCTATTCTTTTGAAGGAAAACCTTTTCTGCAATTCTTGCTGTAGAACAATGTAAAGATAACATCTGGACATAGTACAGTAAAAGTGTTCTATCTGAGTATGTAAAAAGTCATTCAAATAATTTCTAGACATAAACTTTCCCAAGGAAGGGTATCTTTGGATATGTAACGTCCACGGCCCACTGTCCCACGGTAGAAGAGAGATATTATGAGTGATAGTGGCACAGGTCAAATTAGGATTTCACTCCTGTAGCTTTTAGCTCCTAGTTCCTATGGTCAACCTACTGGCACATTCGATCTCCTTACACATCCACTGCTTCATAAATCTATTTCCAGCTTCGCTTCTACCAGTAGCTTACACGATAGCCATTTTATGAAGAGCTACGTATGCTTAATACAACATTTTGCCTTTTTTATAATAAAAATATGAAAGTGCTCTCTAAAGTTAAACCATAAATGCTATTAGAGAATTCTAGCCAAGCATTTCATTTTTCTATACTTTGAACCCCTTAGGACCAATAGGATCAATAAGGATAATACTGTTTATCTAACAGTAGTCTTCATACTTGGGGAGAACATGTGTTCATAATGTATCTGATAAATAAGACACAAATCGAGTAAACTGGCTAGCTTTGAATAAGAGTTTTAGGGAAGACTGACTTATCTGAATTCTAGTTCAGATAATAAATATCTGTCAAAGAATAATTTAATTCACATGTTTACTGTTTAAAGTTAAATTTTCATTGACTCAGAAGAACAGAAAAATTCACTTTAATCAATATGGTCTCCCTATACTGATGCATTTTCGTTTTCTTTTTTTCTACACCTACATGTAAGGGAAGTTAACCTGCTCCTGTGTGCTGGTTTAGATTTCCTAACTAGCTCTTAGCCCCTCAGGCATAGCTGTGGTAAAACCAGAGAGAAATACCCAGGCATGTATTGGAATTCTGAAGTACAAAAATAAGCACAGGGGCTCAACATAATCTAGTAACAGGGATAGCAACAGTTAAACTGCCTCACACATCAGATGCGTTGGCTTGATTTTCTTCTGAAACTTCTTTTTCCTGAGAACCACAAGCAAAGAGCTGGTTGCCCAGAGTTTTGTGGGCAAATCGGAAATACATAATGTGGCCCATTGCCACGAAGGAGACCGAAATCAACACGAGCAGGCCGAAAGCTTCGGGGTTGGGGGCGAGGATGACCATGATGAAGTGCAGGAGGTCGAGCAGGTAGTTCATGGAGTTCTGCACACCGTTGATGATGCCTCTTTCCGACTCAATGACATTCTCTTGTAGCAGCTGTGTCACAGTTAAGTCAAAGGCCCAGAGACCTGCACAGTCAAACATGTTTCATAAAGAATGAATTTTTGTAAAGACCGAATTCATAGTCATTATGCAAAATACACATTTAACCCAACAGCACGCAGACAATATGAATTACAGCTTTGCCTGATAGCATTTTTCATGAATAATGCATTCTTCATTGTTTGAAGAAATGCTGTTTTTACAGATACAGACTGAAATAAATCTAGTCTACAAGCGTGGTTTATTTTTCTGATTAATCACACCACCAAAGCAGAATGCTGAAGTTAGGGACTGAAGAGCCATAATACTAATACTTTTAAAGTTTAAAATACCCTAGTACATTACGGTGGTTAAACAGTAAGGAAACTTTAAACTGTTGTTACATTTATTGCTGTATAGCCCTTACAATAAATCTGTCTTGCTTGAATATTAATGTCTTTGATAAATTAATGAACTGCTTTTTATCACAAGATAAAAAGGTTTCATTTTAAAACTACATTCAGTCAGATATACATCAGTATTCCATTAATGATTACATACACTTTGCTTTTAAGAAGTCTTTACATTTCTTCCAGAGCTATAAAATCCATTTGTGGGGCAATGTAATAAGTACATATAAACTAGAGAGGACTTTTGAAGGATGTCCCTAATAACTTACGTGCCTTTCAAAAAGCACAGCAAGGGCAAGCGTGGTGACGCAGACCTGTAATCCCAGCACTCAGGAAGCTGAGGCAAGAGGATCACCACGTGCTTAAGTCCAGCCTTGGCTACATAGTTCATTCAAGGTCAGCCTGAACTATATAGAAATAGTTCTATATAGACTCTTACAATAATGATGATGATAATAATAATAATAATAAATATTAATATATAACAAAGCAAAACACTACCTTCTTTATGTTAATCTCATACAAGTATCAATGTAGATCCTTTCGGTAGAGTTATAACAATGTGAAACTTCTATACTACATGGCAGTATAATTATTATGCCTAGTATATTTTAAAATAAAATACCATTTGAAAAAATAGTGAAGGACTAGCGGTGTAGCTCAGAGGTAGAATGCTTACCTAACATCTACCAAGTGCCAAGTTTACCGCACAGAACATGCTGGATTTCCCACCACCACCTTTATTAAAAATCTCACATTTAAAGACTGGATTCTGTACATTAATAATAGATGTTGCTTAAATTAGGATCCAGGAACCATTTCGGATCATCTGGTGGTGCATTTTCTGTGTCACCTTTCCGAAAGATTCGTCTGATGACCACACAAGGCGTCTCTTACCGATTCTAGCAGCAATGACGCCTGCGAAGAGCAGGCTCACGGAGATGATGGGCACCGGCCTGGGGCTGATCTCCAGGATGGCGGCCCCGGCGTCAGACCTGTTGGACATGTGCATCTCGGTGGGGAAGATGGTCTCGGGTATCCTGGTGGTTGTGGACACTGGTTCTCCTTGGGTGAACCTGGAACGAGTAACTTCAAAAGGAGAAACGGACAAGTCCAAGGGGCTTCCGGGCATGAACACTGAGATCACACACAGGACGAGACAGGAGAGCTGGGCCCAGCCTGAGATCAGACCGGTCCGAACCAGTCCACACTTCCGGCGCAGCCAGGTGAAAGCCACCGTTCCCATGATGCCGGTGACGGCCGAGGCGCCCATCAAGATGCTGAGGACGGACCCGCTCAGCCCCTGAGTGTAGGCATAGCCCGTGGTGATGCAGTCAAAGCCCAGGACAGTCATGTAGAGGAAAGCAAGACCCAGGCCAGCCAGGAACACCGGCTGGTTGTAGTAGGAGACCCATCCGTCTCGGAAGGTGCGGAAGGGCTCCGCTATCTGAGATGCACAGCTGGGCTCTTGCTCGTGTTCAAGTTCAGGAATGTTGGGGGTTTTCTCACCCATCAGGTGGGTGCCCTCCACGGGTTTTGGCTCAGTATCTGTTAATTTTGAAAAAAAAAAAATCATGATTTGGGAGGAAAGTATGGAGAGAAAAAAACATTTTACTATTTTTTCATTTCCTATCCCCCCGCCCCGCGTGGGTATCCTTGGTAACTGCATGTCAAAATTCCTTAAGAAACCCTGCTACAGAACAATTTCCAAGTACCACTTTTGTGAAACAAAATAATACTGAGCTCTTTCTTTCTCTTAGAAATTATACTCCCTCTAAAGTACCTAGCAGGAAAACTCATCACATAAGATATTCAATTGTCTGGGATAATAAAGAACCTTATTAAGATCTGCTAAGACCCCCATGCCCACAAGCCAAACTCCCTCTTTGGTTGGGAAGTGCTCCTCCTTGTGCTTTCACCTTCTTTCACTGTCCTGTGAATTCCTTGGCATCCCGAAGAATCCCCTTGTTCTAGTTTTCTCTCATCATCTTCCCATGTTTATGACTCACTCTGCCCAGCTAGCACTCATCTAATTGTCTCTCTGTGTCTACTGCTAGTGTGGAGAGTCAAGGATCTCCTTCCATCCCCTTCACATTCAGCCCAGAATTATTCCCTAGAACCTCAAAGGTCTGGTTTTGCCCCATCTATCAAAATGATATGCTTAAAGCTTTCTTCATTGAGAATCAGACCTCACACTCTGAACCTGAAAGGACGTTTGCCGTGTCCCATTACCTTTATGTACATTCAGCTGTTTCAATTCAGCTTCCTCTCCTTTAGGAGCAGCTTTCACAGCCAGGGCAGGGGTCTTCTGGTAGACCTTCCACAGCAGAAAGTACTCCACACACATAGACACCAAATTCCACCCTGAGATGAAGCCGCAGCCAATGACTGGGGACCCAAACGTCATAATCTGACCCACAGCCATGGGGGCCAAGATGTTGGTGAGCTGGTCAATCCTTCGAATGGTAGCGTTCATGTCTATAGGGGTGGGTGGAAGAGGCAGGTAGGAGTGCAAGTCCATCAAAGGGAGACTTCCATATACATAATAGTGACAAGCCAGGAGCACAGAAGGCTCAAGTGCAGATTTCTAAAAGCACTCTGTGAGAAGGCATGCTACCAAAAATTTTATAGTTTGGGGAACAAAATTTCCCCCAAAGTTGTTTCCTTTGGAATTTTAGAAATCAGTTGAACATTAACTTTTTAAAAGAACACAACAATAACTCTACTCATTTTGATCACTACTTATTAAATATGTAAGTCAGACACCATTCTCAATGCTATAGCATGGTCACTTTGACATGCATCACCTTCCACCTGGAGCGCCAAGGCAGCTGGCACAATCTTACACGTGACTGTCTGCAGACACTTCCCTAGCATCCATCTGGTCCCCTCTAATAAGTTTCCATGGCAGATGCCAACAGAGAAGAGTGGAACACATCCAAATAGGTCAATAACTTGAATAAAAAGTAACAAAAGAAGACTGAAGTCTTAAAGCTACAGAAGCACATCACAAATTATTTTAAAGCTGGTATTCTTGTACTATCTCAGTTTTCAAGTACTCATAGAACTTTCCAGAGTCACCAATTTTGATCTTTTAGATAACAGTAAGTTAGTAATATTTAGATGTCAGTACAAGTGTGGTATCACAAATAGTTTTTATTTTTCTGAAGCAGAACAAATTAAATTTATTTTATTTTTTATTTTTTACATAAAAGAGAAAAGCAACTTTAAAAACAATCCAGAGTTTGAAAAACAAGATAATAGGAGATTAACAATAGTAATTAGATTATGATTGTTATCTTCAAAGTAGTGCTCAGATTACATGAAATAGGCATGAAAGATGAATCAAATAATATAAGTACCATCCGTTCTGAATGTTTCTTTTAATAAAAAGACCTAATCATTTTCCTGGGAACAGCCTGGTGCTGAATCCATCTTCTGGAGTTGGTGGTGAATTTAGTAGTACAATATGTGCTTAGCATGTACAAGGCCACAGGTTCAATTCCCAACACACACACACACACACACACACACACACACACACACACAATCAGACTTCCAAATAAGTAACCTTTCTCTTTACAAACTTAACACCTCTTTTCATATGAACCTAAGTATGTCCTCATTTGGTTCTGTTTTAACTGTTTTGGCTACAACTATAACAGACCATGACATAAATAATGATCATTATTATAAAGGGTATATTATATTTTATAAAAAGATATTTGTAAGGATTTGCTGAGCAAATAGTAGCAAACAGGTTTGTCTGCTTCAAACATGTAATTAGTTTCAATCAACAGAATTCAGAAATGAAATGTCCTGCTCCACTTGACCAGAGCCAACAAGTACATCAGGTCTTACTTTAGAATGGCTGGTAAGAGAATCCTTCCAAGATACCAGTACCGTGATCCATAAAGCAAATAGGAAAGAAATAAAGCAATGGCTGCAGCACAAAGTCTGGGAAAGGAGTGGATTTCAAGCAAGCTAGATAGAACACATGGTAAAACTCAATGTTTTAATAAAGTACTAAATTAAATACCTAGAAAGCACCTATCTTATGGAACAGATTCATTACCAGTGTATATGTTTCTTGAAAAATATTTTTCTTGGAGCATTCCAAACTAGAAGGTAACAGCTGTACTTTGCACTGAGATTCTAGCCTTCCTAGGGAAAACTGCTTCTGTTCTTTACTCTCAGTAATGCAGCTTCCAATTTTAAAATTATTTCTGAAATCAAGAAATGCAGGAATAAGGAAATGGGAGCAAGTAGCATCCAGTGTATAATCTTTGTTCTTTATTTTCACATCTTTTACCTCTGCGCACGCGGGTGATACCACACAGTGCCCTAACCTGGGTTCCTAACTCACTGCAAGCAGCCTCCGAAATCAGCCTGTGCAAACACACCCCACGCCCCATCGGAGCAGGGGCATCCGGGGAGGGAAGGATGCAGCCCCAGGGACCCACAGGAGCCCAAGACTATTTCGCTCCCTTTCTCTCTTCTGTTCTTCCTTTATCTGCCTGCTTTCTCTCTGTTCTCCTTTAACCCTCCTGAGGCAGAAATAACAGCAAATTCCATAGCTGGACACTTGCTGACCCTCAGAACCGAAAGAAAGTTTCTGTGTTTTGCAGTATAGTGTTGAGTGAACACAAATGCTGAGGCTGAGCTTTCAGGAAAGAAAACAATGTTTTCCTTCTCTGGTCTACTAACCCCTGCTGCTGCGGGAGAGGAAAGCCCGCTGCTTAGGAAAAGTTAACTTAGGGTGGACAAGAGTTCAACACATAGCACACTTCCTTTCTTCAACATGAGAACTCCCGAAGGTTAGAAAATAGACTGCTTGGCTTAATGTTCAACTCGGTGATAGTTCATGACATAAATAGCGATAGCCAGAAACAACTAGTCACAACTTCGCTGTTCTGGGACATCAGTTCACAATCAGAAAGAAAAGTTCTTTGAATTTTTAAATTCACGTGTAGGTAGTAGGATTAGCTAAAAGTTTTGTGTAGCTTTCTCTTTCACAAAGCTAATTTACAAAGTACAATATGAGTAGATGTTTAAAGTAGACTTTAGAGACTCACTATGAGTTAAGAAATCCAGATAAGAACATGACAAGACTTTCCTGAAATACATATAATATATGATATAATGTTTATTTATTTATTTGGTACAGGGTCTCACTATGCAGCTCAGACTCAGAGCGATCCTCCTGTCTCAGCCTCACCAGCGCTGGGATTACAGGTATATGCTACCATGTCCGGGAGCCAGTACAGCATGCGGTACCAGGGATCAAACCCGGATCCTTGCACTTGCCAGGCAGGCACTCAGACCACCGAGATATTGCCCCAGCCCTCCCCAAATATATTCTAACAAATATAAGTGTGGTCTATTTTTAAAACATATCATTTTGTACCCTTTGAATTTTAAAATAAAGGCATATTTTACATGCTTAAAATAATATGTTCAAAAAGAAAGTAAACAAACCAAAAAGGAAGAAGCCTTATCTTTTCTTCTGTGTAACAAAGAGAGATGTACAATTATTCCTTCTTACAAATAATCACAGAAAAAAATGCCAATGAGTATTTTCCACAGTAAAGACTCACACCCTCTCCGTATTCTCTCCCCTAAAGCCAGTGTGGATTTCTATCTGGATTACACCATGCTACCATAATGTAACATGGTGCTTGAAGCCAATAATTCTTCTAGGCCTTCCCCAGACTGTGTTCTCTTTCAGTCAGCAAGAGGTCCAGTCAAGCCACGCTGCTTGCAAACCCTAGCACATAATCTTGCCGTCTGTGCCCTGGACAAGGCACTTAAGTCATCAAGAATGGTTCTCTCGTCTGCCAGGAAAGTTGAGCAATATGTTTTCCATACTCATGACCTTAGTGACCAACAGAGTTCACTCAGCGGATCTGCCCGGTGGGCAGGCGTACCCTTCGTCCTCCTGTACCTCAGCTAGATGGCCATGCAGTTTGTGTCCATGTGTCACATGGGGAGAAGGTGAAGAACACCAATGGAGTGTGATGTAATGGGCCCAAGTTTCTTTGCAAGCTCTCCTCATTCTTTCTTTGGCTACTTGTGTAGGTTCCAACAATTTGCAAGTGTCATTTTTAAAGGTTTTTTTTAAACAGTAATTATATTACATCCCCCATAATATAAGTTGCAGATTCTAACTTTAAAGTAGGAGGAGCTAACTACTAACTAGGGCCTCTCCTATTAAGTTGTTTCCATTTGATATGGAGAAAAATAATATCCAAAGTATGATTCTTAACTACAGTAAAAATATCCACGCAAAATATCATGCCAGATCTTTGTTGTTATACATATTAAATAAGTGTGTAGTGACAGTCAATAGAATTTTTAGAAATAAAAGGAAAAGTTTCAAAACAGATGTTCTTCTGCTTGCCTAGTATGCATAGTATAAAAGAGGAGTTAACTATCCTATACATTAACACTGCAATAGATAAATCTTAGCAGTAAGATGGACAATAAAGAAAAAAAATTATGCTTTCAATTTATTGTTAAAACATACTCAGAACAATAAAAATAAAAAAGGCTGTTAACCTCATTTATTGCCCCTGATTTAAAGTAAATCCTAATATTAACTTAGTTGAAGAAGAAAACCAAATCACCTGCTAATTTGCTCCTGTCCTCTCCCGCCACAACGACGATCCAATCCCTCTGGATTGTTATTGCTGTCGCAGTACTGGCCAAGTTTGCAATATTTGCAATAGTAATGATCATGATATAGCAGGAAGTCTAAAGAATTACAAGAAAAAATGGAGTTAAGACGCCAATTTGTCACACTGTATGTACTTCACAATGTCAGATAAAACTGTCTTTGTTACAAAATAGTAAATTTTTAAATTTTACTTCATATATGAGAAATAATTTTCCTTTGTATACATGAAACAAGCACCAGAGGTCAAGTTAAAGTGGTCAGAATATTATTACTTTAATCTGCATCATCTGTACTATATGTAATGTAAAATTATAGTAAGCATGTGAATACACACACACACACATATGACACAGTTATCAGAAAATGGTAATGTAGTAGTGTTTTCGACATTTTACCCACAAATACCTCCACTGGAAGGATAATGAAGGAGTACTGAAAAGACCTGTATTTAAGTCAGAGTTCTGACCCTTTCCTGTTGCACAATAATGGATAATTGACAAACCCCACTTTGTACTTTGTCTTCGTTTTGCCAGCAGCCAAATGAAGGGACTAGACTTGAAGATTTCATAGTGTCCTATATCGGTAATCTCAACCCAAATATATATACAAGATGATTCAATAGTGACGCACACTCATTGTTTTCCACTACACTCCACCACTGTACTCTTTCCTATGTGTGGATACAGTTGATATTCTCGAAGAAAATTAATAATTATTATTGGGAGACTACAACAATGACTGGCTAATACATATACAATATATGGACTTTTCTTGTGTCATGTGATTAATTGACAGAATAAAAGAAAATAACCTGAAATCTAACAACAGAATTATATAACACACTCTTAGAAATGTCAAAAAAAGTAATGAGACAAAATTTAAAGTCAAATGATACTTAATGAACACCTGCTAAAGGTAAGAGACAACAAACTATCAGAGATGTTATGGTGCACAGAGAAATCGATGATTAAAATGTCATCTTTGCGAAAGAAAAAGCCCCTCTATGGTTTTAAAAAGGTTTTCATCATTATCTCTACCAGATAGTTAACTTTCTATGCTCCAGAATCTCATGGAATAAATGTGAGTCATTTGTAGGTAAATGAAGCCACCTTGAGACTAGGATGGTATGTGAAATAAATCAGATCATAAGGTTAGATAGTGCTTTGTTTTTCTTAGATGAGAAATCCAAGGTCTCTAACATAAATATATATATATATATATATATATATATATATTTTTTTTTTTTTTTTTTTTTTCCGTACCAAGGATCAAGCTCGGTACCTTGCACTTGCCAGGCAGTGCTTATGCCACTGAGCTATCTCCCCAGCACCTGAGGTCTCTATTATTTAAAGAGAAAGTAGAAGGCAGGTAATAAGACACTGAGAGCTGGCTCTCTCTTTGAAAAAATAGCCAGGAGGTGAAGGGTGAGCTAGAGAGAGGAGGAGGGAGGAAGTGAGAATGAGGATGGTTAAGTCTGGGAACCACCTCCCCATGAGGAATGAAATCATTATGTCTTGCAAACATGCTCTAGTATGAACTTATTACTGTTATTATTATTTTTATTTTATGTATTTGGTGCAGGGTCTCATTAGGCAGCTTGGACTCATAGTGATCCTCCTGTTTTCAGCCTCCCCAGCACTGGGATTACAGGCGTGCACCACCACACCCAGTCTCGATGGCCAGCTCAGTGCGCCCGGGGTGGAGCCAATGCGGCATGTGGTGCTGGAGATTGAACCCCAGCCCTTCCTAAGTCTAACACAAATTTAACTAAAATAAAATAGAAAGTCACATGGAGAGAAAACATTCTCTCAAGCTTTCACAGAGAGCACATTGGCCAAGCAATGGCCGTGACTCAACTACATGGCTGCACTGACAAAGGTTCTACAATCTGAGGTACAGGATCTCAGGATAAATCCTGAGGGGATTTCACTGACCTTATCAGGCCCAAAAGCTACAACTCTTGTTGCATAGATCTTGCTTTATCTTGGTCTTAACCATCCAGCAGAAAAGTATAAAAACGAAGTATAAGAAGTAAAGCCATGGTGTTATGTTGAGCTGTAGGTGGCTCAGGTCAACAATTTCTGACATTGCCAGTGAAGCGGAAGACCCAATACTATTATGGACTACTGGACTCTTTTAGAATATTTTACTGAGTTAACACACCTACAATATTCAAATGATGGAACTAAACAAAAAAAGGGGATACAGATGAATGTCCATTTGGTATCTGTGTATTCAAAGTGGTTAGGATAGATATATAGTTACATTCTCTTAGTGAATAGAGGGATTTGTTCTAATAGTGTTTGTAAATAGGATATCATGTCTGCATCTTGTACAGCAAATAACCATTAGGAATAATGTATGCGATGTGTTAATTATTGAAACTGCCCTACCAATTTGGTTTGAAACTGTCTCACTGCTATTTGTTTCTCAAATAAAATTATGGAAAAAAATTAAACTAAAATAAAATAAAATAGAAAAGAATCTATTGAGTACTTACAAGGACCCATCCATGGTACATGGTCAGGAGCTCATTTTTATGTAAGAAAACCAGCATGAGAATGACTCCACACACGATGACGGAAATGTTCTGTACCACCAGGGACGTCTGGGCCACTGGACAGAGGAAGGAGCAAGGCTTTCAGCACAGTGGCCTGTCTCAGGCTGCTCTTACATACACATCATTGCTCTACTACAGCATAGCATATGCAGAATCCCAGAAAAAGGAGACCTTCCCAAAGCAAATTTCACCTCAGTCATTCAGTATAACCCAGCTGCTCAGAGAAGACCAGTGAAATCTGCAAATGAAATGAAGTAACTTTTCTCCTGCTGGCTGAAGTCTTTTATAATAACTAGATTTTCATTTATTTTTTTTGCAAGTATATTGTCATAAACAACTATTATATAGATAAGATCTATCTCTGAGCCCTTTGTTACATAAGCTAAAGCAAGAACATGTAGGAGGTTACTGACATGCTGAGAAGTTAAGGCATTCAGAATCTCCTACACGGCATGGGCTTAATCTGATAAAAAGGGACAGGCAAGTAGGAAAACCATGCAAAACATTTCCCAGGAATAAAGCAGTAGTGAATTTCTTGATGCTATTTGTGTTTACTATGAAAAATCTAAGCTACACCTTCTGTAACACACACACATACACACATACACACACACACACACACACACACACACACAAATACACCAACTCTCTTAGAATGGGACCCTCATACAGCATCAAGTGCCAGAAGAAGGCCAGGTAAGGACACCTGGCAGCCTCTTCTCCATCACTCATGGGACAGCCGGCTCAGGGAAGGATACTTAATGTCTCATGCTTATGTCTAGAAGGCAAGATGGCTCTTCCTTACTTTATGGGGTCAGAATGATGTTCAAATAAAACGTTCATGAAAATACTTGGATGCATGCAACATGTAATTACAGCTCGCGTTGGCCATGATAGTAAAGCTCATCCTGGCTTGGGAGGTCATACAGAAGATCCAAAGCAAAACACAACGCTCTCTGAAATTGACCTGAAGCATCACCATAGAACTCTTCCATGCATTTATTGCACCAGGATTAAATATCAAATGAACGAAGTGCACAGCTTTCATGGTCTCACAGTCAGAAAAAGAAAGACCATATGAACAGACAACTCTAGCCACAGAGACACAAAAGCAGAGGTGTGAACATGTCTTCATGGAAGCGCAGAGAAAGAAGTGGCACACTCAGCCTGGAGACAGCAGGGGAGATTTTTCAGGAAAGGTGGCACATGGGCCAGTTACACAGCACAGGTGGGAGACTGCTGTCCGTCCTCCAACTCGACATGTTTTTCCTCAACCTGTGATTGCAGTGCTCCGTAATTCTAAGATTAAGACGTTCTGTGTGTGATATTTTATTTTCCTCTGAATAATGATGTAAATAATGAGGATTTTTCCCCCTAGGATGCAGACTTTTAAGGGTCTCATTACACAGATCAGACTCATAGTGATCCTCCTGTGTTCAGCCTCTTAAGTGCTGGGATTACAGGTGCTCGCTACCATGCCCAGTCTCAATTGCAGTCTCAGTGCACCCCCGGTCAGGACCAACACAGCATGCCAGGGATCAAACCCCAGTCCCTGTGTCTGCCTAAGCAGGCACTTTAATTCGCTGAGCTATCTGGTCGGCCCTAGAACTTTTTTTCTATGTGTGTTCTACTCTGTCCATTCTCAAAACAGGAATAAAGTGGTCATTTTTCTAGTACTGTCGAGTTCTAAAATTTGAAAATCCTGTTCCTATGTATCTAGAAGCAGTCATCTGGATTGAAAGAAATTAGTGGCATCTGAATCTTTTCCCAAAAGCTCAGACAGACATGGTCAGAAATTATCAACTGAATAATTCAAGAAAATTTTACCCCAAATGATTAACCATATTGCCCTCGTTGTCTAAATAACGAAGTTGCTCTATTACTGTTTGCTGTATGAAACTGAATGAACAAAGTCTTGATGTTCTAGCCTAGAATAATGCTACTATGTTACTCTTCTTTTACGCTAAAAGAAGAATCCAGTTTTCTGTGACCCAGGCTCAGCTATCCTCCCTTGAATCAATATTTATATTTCAATTACCTCATGCACATTATATGAAATACAGTAACTCAGGCACCAGATATTAAAGCTGTCTCAAGAACATCACATTAAAGGAATCCCAGGGCAAGTCATGATTAGGGAAGGAAGCCAGAGTTAAGCAAACATTTAATGTTTAACATGGTTCTCAGAAAAGTAGCTATAGTATTAATCATTAACACCTGCAATTTATGAACTCCCAACCCCCATCCCCAAAAATCTATTAGATCAATATCCTAGCATCCTGAGTTTGAGCAGAAGGCCCAGAGCCCTGAATCCAGAGAACAGTGCTGCCACCAAAATCCCCTTCCTCAGGAGTGGCATCAAACCCAGCTTGTACTGTGGATTCTCTCTCTGTTATTCTCTCTGGAGAAAGCCCAGGGGGCCATGCCATTCAAGTGGGGGCTTAGAAAGAGAACAGTACTCACCTTTCAGCCTGGCATTCTTATCCACCCAATCACCGATGATGGCTCCCAGGACCAGAACAGATCCTGCCACCACCAGCCCGTACACCGCAGTCAGGAGGAGACTGTTTCCATAGAGCTCTACCAGAAAGACAGACACTGCAAAGTGCCACATGCGATCCCCCTGAACAAGGGAGAGTATTGGATGAACACTGTTAGTCTATAGACCATTGTACACAGAAATTTATTTCCCTATCTAAAAGGTAGTTTCTAGTTACACCAGAAGACTTTCAAAGTCAATAATCACTTGATGAACTGAATGCTAATTAAATGTTAAAATTCTTCATCGTAACACAATGGAAAATAGTCTTACCCAACTACTATAAAAACTCAAAAAGCATGATACTAATGAGACATATTCTTATTATTCTAGAAAAAAATTCAGTTTCCTGATATAAGGTATGTTTTTGAGACCAAACCAATTTTCTCATGTGTTAAGTTTCTCCCCAGGCATGGTATTTGCCTTTCTTGATTGGAGAGTCAAAAAGTAGTTTGCTATTGGCCCAGAATGCTAGTATGTTTTATAAATATTGGTATACCTTGAATGTTTAGAAAAAGCTAATTTTCCTATCTATAAATGATAATAGACTATATGTTCTCTAAATTTTCTTTCACCTCTAACATTCTAAAATATATGCCCTGTTTCACAAATTAAATTCAAAGTCATAAAACAGCAGAGCAGTGAGAAAGATGAAAATAAAAGGACAAATTCTGGCTCTGCATGGACAAAGACATCCAAATAAATTCAAAGGTGTAAATGGTTAATGCTTTAATACAGATGAATTTTGAAGGGTGAAAAAAGAGCTACTTCTTCACATAGGTCTAGGGTATATAAATATTTTTTTGGAATTCATTGCTACAAAATGTGGTATAAGTTTAAAAGAAACTTTGAAATAAGTCGTGTAAATTAATACACAATAGTCAATCCATAGTTGACTTTATAATGCGATTTCAAGGTCCATCTTGACTCCCAGGTTAACACCAAGGGGACAGCACTGCATTGTAACCTATCCCTCAAAACCATTAGAGGACACTAATTCCCAGGTTACGTTTCTTCCAGACTTTATCTATGTAAAAGTTTTGATATTCCTAGATCCTCACAAACTCGGTGAACACAGTCAAGATGAATTTCATGTATTGGAAGCAAACTGTTATCCTGGTAGGTCAAGTTATTCAAAAAAGTTTAAAAAGTCAAGACAACAATCTTAAACATTCAAAGCATAAACTGGTGCATGCTAGCACCCATTTTCAATAAACTTCCTGTGGACCAGTAGTTCTAATTGGGGGTGACTTCACCCTCCAGAGATCATTTGCCAATATCTGGAGTTATTCTGTGTTGTCACAACTGCAGGGAACAGGGGAGAGAACACTACAGCCATCTAAAAGCATATGATGACTGTAGAATTTCCTGGCCTAAAACATCACTAGAACAGGGCTTGGGAAAGGATTGTGAGCACAATATTGAGTCACAATTTAAAATTAACATAAGATTAAGACCTCAAGAAATAACATAGAATTATTGCATTTCCCAAAGAGTTCAGATTTTAAGAAGCAATAGGGGGCCGGGGAAATAGCTCAGTAGAATAAGAGCTTGCCTGGCAAGCACAAGGGCCTGAGTTCAATCCCTGGTTCAGAAAAAAAAGAAAGAAAGAAAAAAGAAGCAATAGATTCTACGCTCAAAAAGAGTACAATGGTGGACTGGGGTCTAAGTAAACACGAGTGCCCACGCACTCCCTCCTTACTTCAAGCCTACACTTTCCTTCTGTGTTTCCATTTCCTCCTGGTGCTCTCACATTACTTGATTTGTTTACATATCTGTCTTTCGCCACTGGGTCTGTGAATGACGCTGATGGTTTTATTAACCTACTTAAGAAATAGCTATGGAGTGGTTACTGTGTACACAACACTCCTGCAAACACTAGAGCTGTGGCAGTGCAAAAAAACCAAAAAACAAAAAACAAAATCACAGTCCATGGTTTCATGCAGCTTGCATTCCAATGCTCACAGACCAAAGACAAATGTGGCACAGGTCAAGAGGCGTAAGTGCTATGCAGAAAATCAACACAGGATGGAACTGGAATGTGGCATAATATATGGCATGCTGACAGAGCTTCTATGAGCAAAAAGCAAGGCCTGGAAAAACTGGGCACATGAGGCTATAACTTGGGACAGTCCATGGGATAGTAATAAAGGTTATTAGTAACTGCATCTTCTTTCTTCCTTGTGTTACACTGATGTTTTTTCATGAGCAGATACTTTTTTAAAGTCCATACTGAATTACATTATGAACTCCTGAACACAAGGATCCACTTCTTCCACCCTTTTGCATTCTCACGGCACAGAGTAAAATGTATTGGTTTATTGGCAGACAGAAATGAAGTCCCAAATCAAAAGCATTTGACCTCACACAAATCTACCCTGAGATAATCTATGTAAGGCACATGTTCAATGAATAAGAAATCATGGTTTGGTGAAGCTGGTAAGGGATGGATAGAAACATATGCACAAGGGTTTTTTTTTTCCAACAAAAATTAGTGTGCTCCACAAGAGACAAAGCTAAAGAAGTGGAATTGCCTAGAGTTAGACAGCATTCCTCTTCCGTGTTCCTTTGAGAGGTAAAAATCCACTAAACTTTATATGCCTGTGTTTCCTCTTTTGTTGTTATTATTGTCATTGTTTGTTTGTTTGTTTGGGGTATTTTGTTTGTTGGTTGGTACTAGGGATTGAACTCAGGACCTTATGCATGCCAGGCAAGCACTCTACCACTGAGCTACATCCCCAGCCCGGTTTGTTTTTTTAATCCAACTTTCTCACAAGAACTTCCTTTGCTCAACTTACTGTAAGGTCAGACAAGGACCTGTCTGTTACTTTGATTATGGGGTTTTCTTTTAAGATCCTAATGAAAAGTCCTTTTCAAGACAAAATCAATCTACCCTTAACCACAGCTCCATTCATGTTTCTGGCAAATCTGCTACCCAATCTATCAGCCAAGGGTCACATAAAGCCAAAATCAGTCAGTATTTGGAAATAAGACACTCTGTTCCCCTAAGAGCTAGATTCAGACTACAAGCTGAGTTTCAGATACTATTTCCTTACTTATTGGTAAGCATTTTTAATATTTAATACTTACTGAATTAAACTAAAAGAACAAATAACTGGCTTGGATTTATGAAGGGTTGTTTCACTGGGTTTCTACTTAAGACTCATCGGCTATTGGAATTGAAACAAATTCACACCACTTCCACTTTGTTTACATTTATTTGTCATCCTTACATAATTCTCTGAATAAATAGAAGTTTGCTTTTTTTTTTCTGAAAAGTCATCTCTAAGCTGCTATTTCTTAGAAAGACAACAATTTGGCTTAATAATCTCCCAAGGGCATAAAGTATAGATCTCCTCAAGAAAAAAAAAAAGTATAGATTTCCTCATGGTATGAATTCATTCATGTCTTAAGGATGACCCAATAGAAATGACCAGTTTAGAAGGAAATTAACTTGATAGTCTACTCTTGCCGGGGAGATGGCTCAGTGGAATAAGTGCTTGCCTGGCAAACACAAGGACCTGAGTTCAATCCCCAGTTCTGCAAAAAAAAAAAAAAAAAAAAGGTTGAATAACTTGATAGTCTACTCTTAAAATGATTTCTCTTTGTGTATGATTCTTTTAAACTTCATATATGACGCATGCACAGAATATATTCAGATTTAAATCTTTTAAACAATAAGAAAAATTTAATTTTTAAAAATTCTTCATTCATTGAACATATAACCAGTTCCCTCTAGGATTATTCCTTATCAGGGAGAGTTAGTAGAAGGAACGTAGACCAAAAGAAATACTGGGATTCTTCCAAAGCCAAATAAGAAGTCAGAAGGAGAAATGTGAATTAGTTACTGATTTTCTAATTTTCACTGGATGGTTTTTAAGAAAGCATGTGGTGCTGACATATTACATAAGCACAGATAACATTTTTAAAGACCAGAATTTTGTCTCTCAAATATTTAATCTTGGGGATAAGTGTATTTTAATTAACTTTAAAAGGCCATTACTAGCCAAATTCAGTCACTCCACCATTGCATTGTATTTTCATGGTGCTGCATGCAGGAGCCAAATTTTAACAAAAGAAAACAGAATTATCTTAAAATGTGAAGTGACAGGAAGTATAAGAAACCCCCTCCCTGATTCTCAGTGGCAGATTCCCATGTGCTGAGTACAGTAATGCAACATACAATTTACAAACAATGCAAATATCCCTGTCTTTGAAGAGCTCTCAATCTATGCACAGTGCAGTACCTTGACAATTTACTAACACCTATCCAAAGGCAACCTCAAATTCCTTTGATGGAAAGAACTTTTTCACTAAAGCATGTGTTTCCAGATAATTTATTTCCTTAACTGTATGACAACCCTGGAAATGGGCTTAATACTGGCTGAATGAAAGTAAACAAGATACTGTGCAGAAATCACTGTACATTTTCACTTACCCAAGTGGAGAGGGAATGACTAAGGTACAGAAGGAATTTTGCTGACCTCAGGTAGTTTGCGAAGGACCCTGCAGAGACACACAGTGGGGGGATTGAAAAGCACATTGGGTCACTTGATTGAGTTGAAGTTCAAATACTTACACATGTACTCTTACAACAGGAAGATGAAAAACTACACTGTAGGATAAATTGCATACATCTTATCAGGTCGTCTAAGAGTCAATGGACATTGTTTTGTTAATGTAACTGACTTAAATTCAGCACGAGCTGTTGGTCAATAATTGCACAAGCTCATACGCAGTGAAGAAATGTGTTTCAAAATTCTTCAACTTCTTTTCACTAGCAACCGGAACTCTACCACGTACTGCATCCCTGCCTGTGTGCAAGCCCCTCGGCTCATGCCCTGCATGTCTTGGATTTCTCCTATCACATCAGGAGGCAGAGGTGCTCGGCCCAGACGCACTGGCCAGGAGCGAGGTCGCCTCCCTGCAGCCCACACCCGCACCACCACTCACCGCAGCATCCTCGCTGGTGGCCCTGCTCTCCGGCCCTGCTCATGACACCAGCCTCTCGTTCTCTCCTGCTTTCTACTGCCGGCTGCCGCTGCTTCGGCCCTCGTTCAGGTGCTCGCTAACCCGAGCCCCAGGACCTGGCGATGGCACCTTTGCAAACCCAACAGCCTCGTCCAGGCAGACCCCAGCGACAGCTATGGCAAACGGCAAAAGAGAAACTGCCCGGGGGATTCCTTGTTGTCTTCTTTCCAAACTTAGCTAACACTGTAGCTGAAGTTGGAAAGGCAAAGCCTTATGGACGCAGGTGGGAGGCTCTGCAGGCCGCAGAGACCCTGAGCCCTGCTCCGCCGCCGCCCCTCGGTCCGCGCCCGAGGGCAGCTCTTATAGGGCCGGGGGCGGAGCTGCAGCGGCCCCGCCCCCTGGACCCGCCCCGCCCCGAGCCCAGCCCCGCCCCTCCGAGCCCAGCCCACCCTGGAGCAGTGTTTGAGGTCTGGAGGGCGGAACTGTAGTGCGACCCGCCCCACCTGGCTGGGCCCTGCTCAGGGCCGATCTTAAGGGCCAGGGGTGGAGCTGCGCTGCGCCCCGCCCCGCTGGAGGCCGAGCCAGCGGGCTGTGTGTGCGGCCCCGGCCCGGGCAGTGCGTGGGGAGGGAGCCGCACGTGGATCGCAGACCTAGACGCTGGGAGGGCCCAAGGTGGCAGTGCAGGGGAGAGGTGGGCGCAGGTGGGGGCGCGGCACTCCTTTTGCACGAAAATGGAGTCTCTAAATAAATAGATCTGCCTCGGCCGCGTTCCCAGCCTCCCCATTCCGGCGTCTGCGGCGGGGGTGTTTTTCCTCCCCGACAGAACGGCGGGGCTCCCCACGGAGCCCAGCATCAAAGTGCAGGAAGGGGCTGCAGATCCCAGTCGGCGGCGGAGCCGGCAAGGTGACGTCCCCAATTGCCCCGACCAGAGACGCTGTCCGCAGACTTAAGCAGAGGCAGAAGCCCGACGAGCCCTTGCCGCTCGGCCAGCCCTCTGCACCCCAGTCCAGCCCGCACGCCGCTTCCTGCCTCGCCTCCACTGGTTACCCCACTTGGCTCCTCGGGCATGTTCCTAGCCAGATAAGGCCATTCATTCCGTGGCCTGCCAGACGGGCAGTTGAATGACCAAAGAAAGCCTCGGTGACCAGCTTCTCCCCTGCTGAAGTCCCTAGGGCAAACCTGTCCCTTTGGGCAGCCTGTTGGTTACCTTACCTTTATCCGATCGCGCCCAAACCCCAGAGGTGATCCTAACATTGAAACTCCAACAGATTCCTCGCGTTGAACATAGACCTGAATGACACCCAGCGAGAGGGAGACCACTCTTGAATAAGTGCCTGGTATCTGGGCTCTAAGTCAGAAGCCCCAAAGGTCTAAGGGCGGGGCGGGGCGCAACTGGATTCGTTGCGATGTGGTCTGCAGGGTAGAGATATGGGATTTACAGTTTGTTGCTACTGACTGCTTTTATCCTTCTTCAAGCGCGCTCTGTCTCTGTCTCTGTCTCTGTCTCTGTCTCTGTCTCTGTCTCTGTCTACCTCTCTCTCTCTCTCTCTCTCTCTCTCTCTCTCTCTCTCTCTCTCTCTCTCCATACACTTTTAAGTACTTTCTCTTCACTCAGTGGTCTGCATTTGATGAAGTTGCAGGGTAGGGCCATGCATCCGTCCATGCTTGAGAAGCAAACCAAAATGTACTCAGACACCGACCTTCAAAAGGAGGCATCTGGGAAGTCAGGCTGCCCCACATTCTACAATTTCTTATAGAGAGAATTTTGTTGACTGGTCCTAAACAAGGCTCAAAGAATGATGACACTTGGCTTGTTTGCCGTTGGGTCTCAGCGGCAAAGACAGCCAGGTGCTTTGCACTGATTGCTGCTAGCCACAGGAGTGTGGAGCCACCCCCAGCTTCAGGTGGTTTAAAGGAGGTGACCTTAGTACAGACACTGAGAAGTATAGCAGAAAGGGAAGCTGCGTCAATTTGTATTTTAAGACAAATTGGATGGCCTCTCTGTTCTCCGTTGGCTCCCAGGAGGCCCCAAAAGCCAAAGTATGAGAAAAAGGTACAGAGGACAGATGGGAGTCAACAAAGGAGCAAATAGGAAAGACGAGCAAGACCCAACACAGCAAAGTCAGTGAGACCTGTGAGTCTTGGCGAGGGAATCCTAAAGACTAATTACTGTGAATAGCCAAGATATATTTGTTGGGGTGCATGAAATGGAAAAGAGTTGAAAATGAAAATCCACTAAATGCATGCCAAAGGCAAATGACAGAAATTTCCTGGCCTTGACATTCTATGTCAAAAGCACTGTTTAAGTCACTCCATTCGCTTTGTGCATTCACATACCACCACCCCATCTTTCTCTCTCTCACACACAGAGGTACAGATACACATAGTAGTCTGCAGTTTCTAGTTGAGGAAACAAATGCCGAATTCAGAAAATTCCTAAATATATTCCTAAGGCAAATCCATAGGCACAGAAAGCACAGTTGATTTCAAAGGCTGAGAGAAAGCAGAATAAATAATGACTGTTTAATGGGTACAAGAGTTCCTCGTAGGGTGGTGAAAATGCTCTGGAACAAGATAATGGCGTTGATTGTGTAACACTGACTGCACTACAAGTCACCAAATTAGATATTTTAAAATGGTGTAAGTGGTAACTTGTACATTGAGTTTTCAAAAAAATCTATTCTTAAAAGCAGTGTTTACCCTTTTATAGCATTAGTATTGATTGAGATTAATGTGACCAAATGTAGTCTCAAGAGATCTTAGAGAGACTGAGACAGAGACAGAGACGGAGACAAAGAGCAAATGTGGAAAGAAGAAAACA